GTCTTCCGGATGATACTCTTACCATGTTGGACATGCTCGGATTCATGGAGTCTTTTGCTAGATCTTGCCAAGGGCCTTGAAGTAGTTGTCCACCTTGCCGCCCCGGAACATCGTGTCCAGCTTGTTGTCCACCAGCTGCTTCTTGCCTCATCGGACTTGCATACAGCTTTCTGGCAGCGCCCGGCATGCTAGCTCAGGAGGGGCCTTCTTTGGAAGACATCTTCACATCAAGTGCGCGAAACTGTGAAGCACCACAAAACCGGAATATAAACTCAAACGAATAAGCGGTGTTTCTCAGTCAGATGGGTGCATGTGGGCCTGGCTTCGTGACTTGCGTTCTGGTTTCAACCACTTGTCCACGTCCTAGCTTCTAGCCACTCCAGAATCCATTCCTCAGTTGGGCCAGAGCTGCCTTTGGCCCCCACATTGAAATCCAGCTCTGCTGCCTCTGCCATGGCGGTCCCGCGACGAAAGCGCGCCAAGAAAAGTGCCTCTAATGGTGTTCTGCGCTGGAGCCGCGGCAGTGCGCAACATTCACCATGTTCAACAACTCGGCAAGCTTCACGTACACGGTGCGTGGTGCAAAACCTCCAACTGCAGACATCTCCCGGCCATACCGTCTAACCGTACGACTGCCACGATGGTCCATCACATCCGCCTGCGCTCTAGATTGATGCTACTTGCAAAGAAATCATCCACTTGTCTTAGCAACATCAAGGAGAAGCAAGCTTCACAATGCCGCGAAACAAGGTCACGCCACCAGACAGCGATCGTCTGGTCTTTTTGTCGTGCTGATGAGCGTGAGCAGACTGGCCTGAGCCAGCTGTGGAGGGGTCCGACGTCACAAGGTGAACAGAAAGCTCTCTGATCAGCCTCAGAAAAATTTGCCTCAGGCAAATCCGAGCTGACAGCGCCAGGGAAGATCACATCTTGTGGTCCAAACAAACAGTTTTGCTACAAGGCTGAACTTTTGTTCAGTCGTGCAACCTAACACAGATTCCCTGCTTCTCTCCAGCTCCACCTGGCAGAGACAGAATCTCTATCCGAGACGCTGCATTCTCGGCGAAGCTTCTTCGCGCAGCATCCAGGATACTCGTGTCCACCAAGCGTGGCCACGAGACAATTCGAGTGACAACCCTGCTGCAAGACCTGTCAGGACTTCCAGCAGGAGTTACAGCATCAGTGGGAAAAATCGGCGCAGATATTGGACCTAAGCCTGCATTTCTGCAGGCATCTTGTCTTCGG